ACCTTGAATGACCTTAAATGATCCATTTGTGGCAATCTGACCTGGTCAAAAATGGTATGATGGTATTCATCGATCATATAAACATACTCTTAGACATTAGAATTATAATTCAAAGTGATTTAGAAGCGGAGATATAGATAAACAGGTTTTATGAGGCTACCATTTTGAAATCCAAGATGGCCGCCATAATTACCGCGGATGAGGTGGTTCCTACCAAAAATTAAATGCTATGACCATAAGAAGCATGTAAAAAAAAATTCGGTGCTTTTGTCCGGAACGTCAACATTAAGTCCAAATATGGCCCTAAGCTGCCGTACTATAAAGCTGAATTGGATTAGGCTCTATCATTTCTTACGCAATATACTAAAAGTACTGAACAGATTTAACAATTAATTCAGTTGGGCCGTTTGTCAAAATAATGCGATTTTTAAAAGTGGATTATTATTTGTGATTGATACATTAAAAAAAAAACGATTTTATTTGAGAATGTAGCTTTTTAGTGATTTTACTCTTTTTCTTTTGGTTTTTCAATGTTGATTTTCTCATTTAAAAAAATGTATATTTCAAGTCATTCGGTTGGTTTGTAATAAATTTATATAATAAAAGTATGGTAAATAGACTAATATTGCTTTACCCTTTACCGTATTTATTCGTAAATGCCTTGCTTTAACCCCCATCCTCAAATAAACGCTCCCTTAGAGCCTCATTTCGAACAACGCCCTCCTCGAATAAACGGACGCCTCGGGAATTATTTTTTCCGTTGAATAAACGCCTCGGGGCGTTAATTTTTCCCCTTGAATAAGCGCCCCCTAAATGAACATCAACAGATTTAATGGAAACAATCACATACTCTATAATATGTTCCACTGTGTAGTAGCAAAGAATTACAATTTTACTTGGTCTGGTTGGGATCAGTATTAATGATTATGCAATGACATTTTGACGCTAATTATTGTAGTTTATTTTTTACAACAAAATAAAAAACTTCCTCTTGAATAAACGCCTCCCTCGATAAAATACGCCTCCCTCGAAAAAATACTCCCCCTCAAATCCCCTCTCAACAATAAACGCCCCGGGCGTTTATTTAAATAAATACGCTATGTTAAATCATTAATTTGATAACTAACTATGAAATAGGATGGATATATTATTATGAAGAACAATTGGTCTCAGCCTCAATTTATTATGTCCTGTCAGATAGTATTCCCAGTGGTGGCGCCAGTGGGGGTATTGCCTGACCGTGTCAGCTCCGACGTCACGAAAAAACAAGGTCGTCGCAACAAAAAAATATATATTGATTTGCTTATATATCCAATAAAGTGATTGCCAATTTTTAATATTGTTGTCTAAAAAAAGCCATGTTTTATACTAAAGCCATAATACTGTCCCTATGACCCCTACCAGGGATTATTCTTGGGACCCTGGCCAAGGTTAGTCCGCCCCCTGATTTCTGGAGCATCGCTGGGTGTTCCAACTCGCTCAATAGTTACAATTGCAGATGGCACGTTATATATAAAAAAAAAAAAAAACTCCGCGCCAACTTAAGTACGGTGATCTTGTTATATATTTAAGTGGAATTC